AAAAAGTTAACCTGTTCCATTTACAGGCAAAATCCCTACTTGTCTACAGGTCTCTATGTGCAGTGATTTTAATGACCCACCATTAAATGATCTGGTCAAAATGATTTGACACCGAAATGACTAACTGCCCAGCGGAGTCAAGATCAGGTTTCAGGCCTGCCACAACCACAACCGTGCTCACGAGGGAAGAGCTCGTTTTAAAACAGATGAAAGAGAGGTGCCTGGGTGGCTGAGTCAGTTAAGGTCCCACTCAGGATCTACGACGGATGCTGAAGTCGGTGACAGGAAGCTTGAGGAGAAGCAAGGCCTTTGCACAGTCTCAAAGGAGCTGACCCCCAAGGTATTTATTACTTACAAAAAGACTAATTTACCAAGAGCAACTTTAGAATGGAGAAACCCAGGAGACACCTGAATCAAGCGGTCAAGATTATCATCACCACCAATAAGGAAAAGGGACATCAAGTAACCACTCACTGGAAAGGAAGCATCATCACTTGTGTGGTCTTCTTCCCAAAATGCATAGCCTCACAAGCAAATACTAGAAAACATCAGCAAACCCCCAAATTTAGGAAATATCGTTCAACAAAATAACTGACCGGGGGCTCTTGGGTGGCTCAGTCAGTCAAGCGTCTGACTTCGGCTCAGGTCATGATGTCACGGTTCGTGAGTTCGAGCCCTGTGTCGGGCTCTGTGCTGACAGCTTTGAGACTGGAAGCTGCTTTGGATTCTGTGTTTCCCTCTCTCTCTCTCTCTCTCTCTCTCTCTGCCTCTCCCCTGCTTGCTCTCTGTTCCTCTCTCCTTCCAAAAAAAACATTAAAATAATAATAATAATGACCAGTACTATTCAAAAAATACCAAGATCATGAAAAACAGGGTAAGACTGGCGAACTGTAGAAATCTGAGGAGGCAGAACAACTAAATCCAGTGTGGATCCTGGACTGAATCCTAGAAAAGAAACAGGATAGGAGTAGAAAACTGGGTGGGAAGCTGACAAAGCCTATAGCATAGCTACAAGTAGGGTAACAACTTAGAAGTCCTGATTGTCATCATACATTCTAGTCATACATTCAAAGAAGCTGGCTGGAGGGCACACGTGAACTCTGTACTAACTTTGCAACTTTTCTCCAAGTCTAAAATTATTGGGGCGCCTGGGTGGCGCAGTCGGTTGAGCGTCCGACTTCAGCCAGGTCACGATCTCACGGTCCGTGAGTTCGAGCCCCGCGTCGGGCTCTGGGCTGATGGTTCGGAGCCTGGAGCCTGTTTCCGATTCTGTGTCTCCCTCTCTCTCTGCCCCTCCCCCGTTCATGCTCTGTCTCTCTCTGTCCCCCCCCCAAAAAAAAACAAAAAACGTTGAATAAAATTATTTCAAAATAAAACCTTTTTGAAAAACAGATGGAAAAGGAAAGCAACTGAGGTTACTCTGATTCCTCACTTCCATGTGACTTCCTTTGACTAAAAAAATTTTTAACGTTTATTTTATTTTTGAGAGACAGAGAGACAGAGCACGAGTAGGGGAGGGGCAGAGAGAGAGAGGGAGACACAGAACCCGAAGCAGGCTCCAGGCTCTGAGCTGTCGGCACAGAGCCCGACGTGGGGCTCGAACCCTCAAACCGCGAGATCACGACCTGAGCCAAGTCAGATGCTGAACCGACTGGACCACCCAGGTGCCCCAATTTGACTTCTTTTTCTTTGGGGCTTTTACAGAAGCATCTTCCTCTGCTTTTCTTAGCCAACCACAGCAAAGCACAGGAAGGTGTAAGACGGGAGACTGAGACACCGAAGAACAGGTGACCCTACCCCAAAATGGATGTGGTCTGCCTTCTGGGGTTTAGCTAAACTTTCCAGTTAGACTTGAACAAAACAAAGTCTCTACCTTCGGGACATGTGAGCAAATTCTCAAGCTGGTCTTTCCTGGACAGTGCCAGAGAAGAGAACGTTGGGTGTTCACAGTATCTGTCACCAAGCAAAAGAACTTTTGGAGTGATTACCAGCAATTAGGGGGAGGGGTGTGGATAATGAAAGATAGATTAGGAGGGGGGTGAGGTGTACAGCAGGCAGGAGAGAGAAAAGCCCAGAAGGCACCTATGTGCTATCAGTCGCTTTCTTCCCTAACAACATTAAGCTGGGCTAACAACGCATTTAAAAACACCTTGTTTACATAGCTCATACCCAAAAGGATTTTATTATTTACATTTTATTTAGATGATAGGTTACCAGGTAGCGCTAGAAAGAAGAACGGTTAGACGCACCCTCATTTTTACATTTTTCTCCAAGCATTTACTCACTGTGATGTTCTTAGATAAGAGTAGGTAGCATCTATGCCCATAATAAACACTATAAAAACAAAATCTCTCCCTGTCCACCAAAAGATACTATGTGCCTATTTTTTGCTTCAGCAATTCTACTTATGGGAAACTACCTTCAAGACATACTCACATAAGTATGTATGGATACAGGCACAAGACTTAATTGCTACATTGTTTATAATAGAAAACATCACACCATCTGCCGACGTCACACTGACATCGCACCAAATGTTCATTAAAAGAACCTTCTTGGGGTACCTGGGTGGCTCGGCAGGTTAAACGTCTGACTTTGGCTCAGGTCATGATCTCACGGTTTGTGGGTTAGAGCCCCACGTCAGGCTCTGCGCTGACAGCTCGGAGCCTGGAACCTGCTTCAGATTCTCTATCTCCCTCTCTCTCTCTGCCCCTCCCCTGCTCGTGCTATGTCTCTCTCAAAAATGAACAAACATTAAAAAAAATTACAAGAACACTCTTAAAGTACAGAACATCTGTACAACAGGATACTCTGCGGCATTTGAAAGGAAAAATGTAAATCTAGATGTAGTGACGTAGAAAGATATTCATCATCTATATGTAAGTTCAAATGGAGGCAAAGTATATTATGAGGCTACTCAAAGGAACAAAGTTTATTTGCATGTATATGTACAGAAAATATATGGAAGGATGTCCATCAAACTAAACAGGAATATATAGGGGGATACTGGGGTTCTTACTTCATTTTTCAAAGAACCAGAAGAGATTTTTTTTAACGTTAAATATTTGCTAAATAAAAATAACATATAGGCAGCTGTGTTTCTATATACCAGGAAGAGACAATCTGAAAAGGAAATCAAAGAGACAATTTCATTTGCAGCTGCGCCCAAAGAATAAAATACCTAAGAATAAATTTAATGGAGGCAAAACACTTGTACCCTGAAACTATATACCAATGCTGAAATAAGTTAGGACAGATATAACTAAATGGCAAGACATCATGTGTTCACGAATTGGAAAACTTAATATTGTCAAGATGACAATACTACGAAAAACCATCTACAGACTCTGTGCAATCTCTATCAAAATTCCAATAGCCTATTTCTTCTTCTTCTTCTTCTTTTTTTTTTTTTTTTTTGCAGAAATAGAAAAGTTGATCTTTAAGTTCATATGGAACTACAAGGGGCCCTGACTATTCAAAGCGATGTTGAAAAAGAAAACATTTGGAAGATTCACATTTTCCAATTTCAAAACTTACTACAAGCTACAGTAACCATAACAGTATAAATGGACACAAGGATAGACAGACAGACTAATGGAAAAAAACCTAAGGGGTCCGAAAATAAACCCGACGTGACCAATTCATATTTTTTTTAAGTGTGAAAAGGCCACTCAATTGGGGATAGAGAATCCTTTCAATAAATGGAACTACTAGATACCCACATACAAGAGAATCAAGTTGGACCCTGACCTCTCACCTTATGAAAATTAAATCAAAATGGATTAATAGACTGAATTTAGAGAGAAAAACATAAAATCCGTAGACGAAAATACAGGGATCAGGAAGTCGGCATGAGCAACCGAAGAAAAAATAAATAACTTGAACTTCATCAAAATATAAAAACTTGTGTGTGTCCAAAGGACATCACCAAGAGAGTGCAAAGAAAAGAACGGAAGAAAATGCCTGCAAATCGTGTATCCGAGAAGGGTCTAGCATCCAGGATATACAAAGAACTCTTACAACTCAACAACAAAAAGACAACCCCATTTATTTTAAAGACAGACCAAATTAAAAATGGGCCAAGGATCCCACTGGGGGATGGGAAGGAGAAATGGACATTTTTCCAAAGAAGATACACAAATGGTCAGTAAGTACACGAAAAGATGACCAATGTCATTTGTCATTGGGGACAGGTAAATCACAACCACAATGAAGTGCTACTTCCTAATCACAAGGATGGCTAAAGAAAAAGAAGGAGAAACAGCACGTGTTGGTAAGGAAGTGAAACAACTTAAAGTTATGCACGGTTGGTGGGAATGTAAATGGTTCAGTTCCTGGGGAAAAACAGTTTGACGGTTTCCCAAAAAAGTCAAAAAGCATTTGCCTATGACCCAGCAATTCCACCAAAGGACTGAAAATGGGGACCCAAATGCTTATATACCCGTGGTCACGGCAACATTATTCACAGGCATTAAAAGGTGGAAAAAACCCAAATGTCCACCAGGTGAATGAATTGAAAAAAACTGTGGCACGTCAATAGAAGAGGATACTATTCAGCCACACGGTACAGCACGGATGAGCCTTGAAAACATGCTACGTGAGAGAAGCCAGACACAAAAGGTCACATATTCTAGGATTCCATTTATAGGACATATCCAGAACGCGTCAACTCAAAGACAAAGCAGATGAATGCTTGCCAGAGGCTGAGGGAGGTGAGTTAATGGGTACAGGGTTTCTTCTTGGGGCAATAAAATGTTTTGAAACTCGAGAGGACAGCGATGCAACGCTGTGAATGTACTAAAATGCCACTGAACTGCTCGTTTTTATTCTTTATTTTCATTTTTTTAAAGTTTATTTGAGAGAGAGGGAGAGACAGAATTCTAAGGAGGCTCCGAGCTGTCAGCACACAGCCGGATGCGGGGCTCAAACTCACGAACCGTGAAGATCACAACCTGAGCCGAAACCAAGAGTAGGATGCTCAACCGACTGAGCCACCCAGGTGCCCCTGTTCATTTTTAAATGATTCACTTCTCTGTTACCAGCATTTGGAGTCATTAAAAACAAATAGAGTTGAAAAGAAATAATACACAGCTAAGACCCAAACACTAATTCCCCAGTGAGTTACCTTTCCCTGGAAGGATGAGCGGCACCAGGGCAGATGGGCGTTTTCTGCATCCAGACACCCACCCCTGCCACACTCTGGATGGATGAAGGACTGTTGCCGGGGCAACGACACATACAAACCAGCGGCTGTTAACGAGCACCGGCCCTGGGGTGGCAAAATGACCCAGTGACTGACACTTAGCTCCCCCCCACCCCCAAGAGCCGAGAGGTCAGATACGGACATCCAAAGAGGTCCCACTCCCTCCTCTATTTACAGGGACAGGAAATGAACTTGCTGCTTCACCACCCACACACAGGACCCTGGGCAGGGACTTGGAAGAGATGTAGTGAGCTGCGAGAAAAGCCGCGTGTTACCCTTTTACCGAGGTCTAGAAACGAACACTCCCCCGTTCCCTCCATACAAATCTTCCTGGGAGTCCTCTATCGGGAGGCCCACCCTCAACGGAAACGGGATGGATGGCTCCAATGCTTTTTTAGGGGGTGATGCGGGGTGGGGGGAGGGTGGGGGGAGGGTGGGACAGGGGTGCTCCCGGGAAGGCAAGAAGTCTCCCCTTCCGAGCCCTCTCCCGGCAAGATGAATTCACACCAGAAAAAGCGCTGGCCCTTCAGCCCCTCATTTTCTGGGTCAGAGAAATGAACTCTGAGTCAAATTACTCTTTCTCTCACCTGGGACCGAGGACTGCATTTTAATTTAAGCTATTTTCTTTGGCCATTTCAGTGGGGTTATTAGGAAACAAGAGAACTTCGGATCAAAAAGCAGCTTTCAAAACTCCTTAAAGTCAAAATGTTTCAAGAATAAGAAAGAAGGACAACTTCAACTCACGTACCTTTACTTGTCCAGTCTCTTGATTAGAATAAAGAGGTTATCAGCAACAGAAAGTGGCTAAATCAAGAGTTTCTTTTATATGTTGGAGGATGCTGGGATAAAGGCACAGGGGGTCTCAACTCTCCATGCTTTTTTTATTTATTTGTAATGTGTATTTATTTTAGAGAGAGAGAGAGAGAGAGAGAGAGAGAGAGACAGAGTATGAGCAGGGTAGAGGCAGAGAGAGAGGGAAACACAGAATCCGAAGCAGGCTCCAGGCTCTGAGCTGTCAGCACAGAGCCCGACGCGGGCCTGGAACCCACAAACCGTGAGATCCTGACCTGAGCCAAAGTCGGACGCTTAACCAACTAAGCCACCCAGGTGCCCTTCCATATTTTTATGTTCAATTGTCCACATTCTTGCTCAGTTTAAATGTCATGATTAAATATTACTAATGCTATTTTTTAATGTTTATTTATTTTTGAGAGACAGAGTGTGAGTGGGGGAGGGGCAGAGAGGAGGAGACACAGCATCTGAAGCAGGCTCCAGGCTCCGAGCTGTCAGCACAGAGACCTACACAGGGTTAGAACCCACAAACTGCGAGATCTTGACCTGAACCAAAGTCAAACGCTTAACCGACTGAGCCACCCAGGTGCCCCTACTAATGCTATTTTAAAAACTCTAGACACTCATGGATGAAACCCCATTCGATATTTTTAAAAATCCAAAAATATCTATCTACCCTTGTGGATCTGAGTTAAAGGGTAAAAAAAGAAAAAGGCTCGTGAATTCTCTACTGCATTTCACTGGATCTTAAGACATTTCATAAAATATAAACAAGCTCGAGCTTATTAGCAATGAGAGATTTTTACAGTGTTTCTGCTTCACCTCAATCCTTGGCCGAGTGGTTTCCATCACTTCCTCGAGAGCTCCTAAAATGAGAACTCCACGTTAAGGTTTAGATTTAGAGACTTACAAAGTCAAAAAGAAATCATAACTCCTGCACTTTTAATCATCTACCCTCCTGGTCGATGATTTACCCCATACTTCCCACCAGGAAATGAAGAAAGTTTTGAGGAACGAGTTATTCCCAATGTAAATCTCCAGTCAGCCTCTGTCAATCATGTTGGCCTTTCCCCCAGTTAGCCTCTCTCCACCTCCTGCCTGAAAACTACACTACTATTTAATTGCTTTGTGACTTCACATTTTATTAAGAGGCAGAAAAACATAAAGAGTGAAAACAAGGAGATAAGCCCATGGCCGTAAATTGTCCCCTTATGCAATGAAACTTGCCTTTCTGGTGCAATAAGGTGGGCACTGTGCAAAACCCTGGCAGGGGCCATTCTGCACAAGCCCGGCGTCCCCATCACTTACAGAAACCCCTCCGGCTCTCTGGGGGGGTGCAGTGCCATAGATCAGAGGCCGGGGTGGTCAGCGGCTCACTTCGGCCTGCCCGTGTGAAGGGCAGAGGCCTGTGACTCACTGTGCTCTCTGCCCCAGGCCACCCTACACTGATTTCTATTCTCACGACAAAAAAAAAAAAAAAAAAAAAAAAAAGGCAGAAGAGAACGACAGAATGGTGAAAAAATTTAGAACCCGACAGCACCCCAATCTGTGAGCCCCTTTCCCCAGAAAGCAACCTGTGTGTTCTATCAGCCAGTGAAAACGTTTTTGTTTAATGCTCACTCCCACAGACGGAGAAGAATTTCTCCTTTCCCGCCCCACTGGCTTCTAAGTCCCTGTTTCTTCCTTTGCAGTGAGAACGAAGTCATTATCAGATGACACCACATTCCTGAGGGTGCCCGGACCCCTGCCCTCTGGAAGATTACATCCAGTGACTCACACAAACTAAGCAGGACCTGGTGTTTAAAGCCCTGGGAAAAGATCAATTAGTAATTTCTCTAACGTGCTGCCAGCTAGAAAACAAAGGCTTCAAGTGTTTTTGAAGCCCACTGATGTGCATAAGAAAGTGCGTTCATGACATTGTTCAGAAAAAGTATGCAAATTATTTGTGGGGGATGGGGGAGAGACAGAGAGAGACAGAGAGAGAAGAGAGAGAGAGACAGAGAGAGAGAATGTGTCAAGATCAAACATTAATGAAGAATAAAAAAGCCTGGGAGTGCCTGGGTGGCTCAGCTAGTTAAGCATCCAACTTCGGCTCAGGTCATCATCTCGCAGTTTGTGAATTCAAGTCCCACGTCAGGCTCTGTGCTGACAGCTCAGAGCCTGGAGTCTGCTTCAGATTCTGTGTCTCCCTCTCTCTCTGCCCCTCCCCCGCTTGCACTCTGTCTCTCTCTCTCTTAAAAATAAACTTCCAAAAAAAATTTTAAAAAATAGCTGTGTACTGATAGTCTTAAGGGGGAAAAGGGGATAAGGAGATGGAGAATGCCCAAGGGGATGACAAAACCTGGACAGGACAGCACTCTCTCAGGGGCAGGGTGCACTGAAAACTGGTGAATGACAATGACAGTGAACCAATGACGTGCACTTCTGCGCATGGGGTCGATTTCCAAGAACTTTGCATAAATTCACCCTTGTACTCCTCCCAAGGACTCTGAGATTAGTAAGGACTATTATGATGAAGATTGTAGCATTACAGGTGAGGAAGAGGTGACTGTGTCCAAGGACACAGAGGTGGTGAATGGAGAAGCCGGGTGACCCCAAGCAGCCAGGTCCGGGGCTCTCTCTCGGGAACTGCCTCTCTGAACCACATGGAGTCAGGTCCAAGAGATGTGTGTGAGCACACGTGTATGTGCGTGTCTGCCTGTGTGTGTGCGTATGTTCAACAAGCACAAGCACATGGTCCTAGCAAAGGGGCAGCACCTACAGAATTCTAGGGGCAGGCAAGAGCTCGGCAGGCTCCACGAACTGACGGGAGGCCAGGGATGCTGGAACACAGGGTTCCACAGACAGTGACAGAGGTGAGGCTGGGCAGCAGGCAGAGACACATCGCGTGGAGCCTTGAGGCCTTTGTAAGCAGACGGCCGTGGCCCCTGGGGCAGGGGAGCGCCAAGAGGCGACACTCAGAATAGGTCATTCTGCTACAAGAAGGGGGAATAATTAAAGGCATTCCTGCCTCCTAGTGAATCTATATGGAAACCACAGGGAAAAGATCTCACTACCTAAATTAAATATTGACTTACTTTTAAAACCGCCAGACAGAGGGCACCTGGGTGGCTCACTCAGTGAAGTGTCTGACTCTCAATTTCAGCTCAAGTCTCGATCTCACAGTTTGTGGGATCGGGCCCTGTGTTCGGTTCTGCACAGACAGGGTGGAGTTTGCTTGGGATTCTCTCTCTCTGCCCTTCCCCTGTGCACGCGCCTCACAAAATAAATAAATAAACATTAAAAAAAAAAAACACCATAAAAGTCAAAGGTAAAGGACATAAAAGCTAACAATATTTTTATAATAAAAGGAATTTTACAATAAAAACACTCCTGCAGGGGTCCCTGGGTGGCTCAGTTGGTTAAGCACCTGACTTTGGCTCAGGTCACGATCTCACAGCTTATGGATATGAGCCCCGTGTCGGGCTCTGTGCTGACAGCTCAGAGCCTGGACCCTGTTTTGGATTCTGTGTCTCCTTGTTTCTCTGCCCCTCCCTCCCTCCCTCCCTCCCTCTCAGTCCCTCTCAAAATAAATAAACATAATTAAAAAGTTTTTTTAAACACTCATGCAAATCAGTAACAAAAAAGCAAACGTCCCTTTGGAGATACGGGCAAAGGACATGAACAGAGAATTCACATTAGGAGAAATATAACTGATTCATAAATATATGACCAACGTTCACTTGTCCAGAAAACTGGATAAAGTTTTTTTTTTTTTTTTTTCTAATTCTATACTCTAATGTTAAGAAGAGTATGGGAAAGATATCTCTTGCTACTGTCAGTGAAATTTGTAAACTGGTTCAGATCTTTCAGGTAATATACATCAAAAATCTCTTTTCTGAACTTATATTAAATATTATTTAAAAATTTTTTTCTTAATGTTTATTTTTGAGAGAGTGAGAGAGAGCACGAGCAGGGGAGGGGCAGAGACAGAGGGAGACACCGAATCCAAAGCAGGCTCCAGGCTCTGAGCTGTCAGCACAGAGCCCAACCTGGGGTTGGAACCCACAGACTATGAGATCATGACCTGAGCCGAAGTCAGAAGCTCAACCAACTGAGCCACCCAGGTGCCCCTTATATTAAATGTTATTAAGAGCAGCCTCAAAACTAGTTAGGAGGGTATGCATTGACATGTATGTCCAGAGGAAATTTCATTAAGCACATTCCTAAACTAGAATCTCCAGCAACTTTAACTAATTATGTTGACAAAGACACCACCAAAAAAGAAACTACAGACCGGTATCTCTGATGAACACACATGCAAAAATCTTCAAAACATTAGCAAACTGAATTCATTAATACATCAAAAGGATGTTTTACCATGATCAATGAGGATTTATTCTGAGGATTCCAGGTTGGTTCAATATTCACAATCCCATCAATGTGATACATCATCATATTAACACGAGGAAGAATAAAAATCCTCTGATGATGTCAACAGGTACAGAAAAAAGAATGTGATAAATGAACAACATCCGTTCATGATCAAAACACTCAACAAAGTGGGTTTAGAGGGAACATGTCTCAACATAATAAAGGCCATATATCAAAACCCCACAGCTAATATCATATTCAATGGTGAAACACTGAGGGCAGCTCTTCCTCTGAGATTATGTACAAGACAAGAATGTCCACTCTCACCACTTTTATTCAACGGAGTACTGGAATTCCTAGCCACAGCAATCAGACAAGAAATACAAGGCATCCAAGTTGGTAAGGAAGAAGTAAAACTGTCACTATTTGCAGATGACATGACACTCTATGTAGAAAACCTGAAAGAGGGGCGCCTGGGTGGCGCAGTCGGTTAAGCGTCCGACTTCAGCCAGGTCACGATCTCGCGATCCGTGAGTTCGAGCCCCGCGTCAGGCTCTGGGCTGATGGCTCAGAGCCTGGAGCCTGTTTCCGATTCTGTGTCTCCCTCTCTCTCTGCCCCTCCCCCGTTCATGCTCTGTCTCTCTCTGTCCCAAAAATAAAAAATCGTAAAAAAAAAAAAAAAAAAATTAAAAAAAAAAAAAAAAAAAAAGAAAACCTGAAAGACTCCACCAAAAAAACTATTAAAATAAATCAAATCAGTAAAGTTGTAGAATATGAAATCAATACACAGAAATCTGGTGCATTTCTATAAACTAATAATGAAGCAGCAGAAAGAGAAATTAAGGAAACAATCCCATTTATAATTGTACTGAAAAGAATGAAATACCTAAGAATAAATCTAACTGAGGAGGTGAAAGTCCTGTAATGTGAAAATGGTAAGATACTGAATCAAAGAAACTGAACACAACACAAATGGAAAGACGGTAAGAATATCATTACAATGTCCATACTACCCAAAGCAGTCTACAGACTCCATGCAATTCCTATCAAAACATGAACTGCATTTTTCATAGAACTCAAACAATCCCAAAATTTGTACAGAACCACAAAAGACCTTGCATAGCTGAAGCAATCTTGAAGAAGAAGAACACAACTGGAGGTATCACAATCCCACATTTCAAGATATGCTACCAAGCTGTAATAATCCAAACAGTATTGGAACGGTAGAAAAACAGACACATAGATCAATGAAATAGGACTGAGAGCCCAGAAATAAATCCACGTCTATATGGCCAATTACTATATGACAAAGGAGGCAAGAATATATGATGGGGAAAAGATAGACTCTTCAATAAATGCTACAAGCACAAGAATGAAACTGGACCACTTTCTCACTCCATACACAAAAATGAACTCAAAATGGATTAAAGACCTAAATGTGAGACCTCAAACCATAAAACTCCTAAATGAAAACATAGGCAGTCACCTCTCTGACCTGTCTTACAGCAACATATTTATGGAGTTGTCTCTCAGGAAGGGAAACACAAGCAACAATAAACTACTGGGACCACACCAAAATCAAAAGCCTCTCCACAGTGAAGGAAAACATCAACAAAACATAACCTACTGAATGGGAGAAGGTATCTGCAAATGATATAACCCATAAGAGGTTATTATTCAAAATATATAAACAACTTATATACAACTCCCCCCCTCCCCCAAATAATAATAATCTGATTAAGAAAGGAGAAGACCTGGGGGCGCCTGGGTGGCTCGGTCGGTTGAGCGTCCGACTTCGGCTCGGGTCATGATCTCACGGTCTGTGAGTTCTAGCCCCGCGTCGGGCTCTGTGCTGACCACTCAGAGCCTAGAGCCTGTTTCAGATTCTGTGTCTCCCTCTCTCTCTGCCCCTCCTCTGTTCATGCTCTGTCTCTGTCTCAAAAATAAATAAATGTTAAAAAAAAATTAAAAAAAAAAAAAAAAAAAGAAAGGAGAAGACCTGAGTAGACATCTTCCCAAAGAAGACATTCAGATGGCCAACAGATGCTGTGTAGATATGTATGTGTGCGTACGTATGTGTGTGTATACACATAAAATATAAACTTTTGAGACCATCAGCAAGGTCAATAAAAAACCCCAACGTTCCCACATCCCCACAGACTCTGCCAAGCTGCCTGTAGCAGTATGTCCTTGGGAAATAATGGATGTGCTCAAAAGTCGCACGTAAGGAGGCAGGGAAGGGACATCATTCTATCGCCATGTAACTGAACAACATATGCTGTAGAGAAAAAGGAATAAGCATCTTCTTAAGGAGGAGAGGTAGGTGGAAAAAAGGCCCACTGGTATGTTCTGAGTGGGTTTACCAGCCGTGTGAGAGGTTTATTTATCAAGTCATGTATATGAACCTCAATTTTCTTACGATGGGGATAAGAAAAAACCCACTTCACAGGGTGGTGAGAATTCACACATTGATATAAGTGCTTAGGATAGAGCCTGGCCTAGGGCAGACACGTGATAAATGTTACTCGTTTGCACATATCTAGCAACTTAACATGCAACACACACACATCATTACCAACATTTGTAATATGAATAGTACAAGTCATGCACTAAAATTTTAATAGGCATTATCCCTGCAAGTGAAACAACAGCCTTTTTTCCTTTAAATTCTCTGTTTTCTAGATTCTCTTTAGTTGAATAAAGCCAGCAATATATTAATATTTAAATGTCTCCATTTTTTCCCAAGTAGCCTTAATAATACTCCTTTCCATCTATTAACGTTTCTCTAATATAATCCACTTTCTGCATAGTGTGTTTATGGAAATAGGGTACTTCTGTTGATTTAATCTGAAGAGTAATACATTTCCCCTTTATTCTTCAGAGCCAAACAGTTTGCTCATATTTCTTCCGATAAAGTCCTTTCTGCCCTCTAATACATTTGCAGATGAAGAGTACCCCGAAAGGATTTTAGAGCATAAAAGGTAGGGAGAAAGAAGGGATTAATGTCTCCACAAAGCAAAGTTAAAGCACACAACGTGGCAAGTTAAGGACAGCCATACGGAAAAAGGACACCTCACCTCAATTACGTAAGGCCGGCAAACTACCGCAATCAATATTTCAACTCCATTCCCCTAGGGTGGTCAAAAGATGGAGACAATTCGATAGCTCAGCAGTCCGTCCGGTGCTGCGACAATCATTCTGGAAGAAAAGGAATCTCGTTGAGGAGAACGTGATGGCAGAATATACTTGATTACTGGAGACAGCTACAGAGTTGAGAAATGAGCAGAGTTAAGCCATTTTCCGTGATGGGGGGGGGGGGCGAGGTGGGGGTGGAAGGGACAGGCCAGAATGGCCGAGAGCCTACGAGCTCACGCAGGCCTGGGTCCCCCTCGCTCTCGGTAAAAGCCGGGTTGCTTGCTCTTTCGGGATCTCCCCATCGCTTCAAAGACAAGGGCTGTTCCTCCCAGCCTCTCACTGGCACTTCCAATGCTGTTCAGGCGTTTGTCGGCGGGTCTAGAAGCCGGCTCAAGAATACCATTCGTTTTCATATTTTGGTATCTCTGTCATTTCAGAGCCAGACTACTCCGTAAGAAGCACACGGCCTTTCCCCGAAAACCAGCTCCACCGAGGATTTTTCTCGGCATGTGGCAGTTCCCTGGGATTAAAACCTTGGGATTATGCGCAAGCCATCCCCCATCCCAGAGCAGTCCAGCACCACTTTCCCTTGAACATCCCACTGTTCTGTGCCCCGTCTTTCTCACTCCGGTCCACCGTGCCTGGCGAATACCGGGACACCCCCAGCCGCCGACAGCAGCAGCCTTGACCCTGCCCTCTCTCTGCAGACCTCCGCCTGCCCACTCTCTTGCAGACCCGGTGTCCCTGTCCTCTAACCTCTGCCACCCTCAACAGCCCCCTCCCTCCTGGGCCTCATCTTTCTGGGCTATAAAATGAAGAACGGATTAAAATGTCCTCCCTCGATCTTCATTGTGCTTTGAGGTCAGATGTCCCTGTGCTTACGTCCCGCCCCAGCCACTTGGCAGAATTTACACAAGTCCTCACAAAGGGGGCCAGTTGACATCTACCCCTAAGGTTGCTGTAACAGGAAAAACTATGAGATCCAGGGCATGGTTTACAACACATGCTTGAGAAATACTGGTCGTTCCCACCCCACCTTATAGGAGATCTCCAACTCTCGACTTCTCTGGTCTCCTCATTTCGAAATCCAGCATTCCTTACATGAGGATCCTGGGTGGCAACAATATTCTCTTCCATCAAATATCAACTCCTCCACGGACTTTCAGAGGCTTCCATAACCTAGCTCTAATTTATCTTATCTTCCTCCAGCTTACAACAAATAATTCGGGTCCTAGTCAGGCTAAGTCTTACTATGTTCCAAAGAACACACCCTTGACCCTTCCTTTGTTTCATTCCTCACGCAAGATACTGCTTTTCTTATTCCTTCTGTCAAAGCCCAGCTGAGCCTGTGGCCCCAGTAATGCCCATGTTCCAGACACGTGAACCCTCACACAGTGTCTTAGTGGCAATGTCCGTTGTTTTGTGTTTATTAAGTATAGTGGTCTAGCTGGAAAGGGACCGCTCTGATCATTTTAACTTAATTTTAAAGGTTAGCATGGACCACAAACCAACCCAGCATTTTTTGGATCAGCTTTGTGGACGCTTTGTGAAATTGATACGCCTTTGTGCCTTGAGGTAATAAGACTTTTTTTTTTTTTTTTTTTTTTTTTAATTAACTCCACTTTCATTTGCCTAGAGAGGCTCACACAGGAGCCTGTTTCATCAGCAATGAGGAAACCGCGCACAGACCATCCAGGGGCCTCCTCGCAGAGCCAGGAGAGGAACTCTAAGTGCGTCCGATGCCTGTGGATTTTGTGTTGAAGCCAACGTGTTCGGATTTGACAAGCCATCTTGTGATAACACTCTCGGCAACAACAGGACTCACGGTGGAGAGGAAGAGGATTGGCCGCTAGGCTTTTACCTCCAGAAACACGACGGCTGAAGTTCCAGGACTAAAGGAAGCGTGATGACAGAAGACACAGTGAAGGATCAAGGGAGACACAGGAGGAAGAACTTAAGGAGGAGATCCAGAGCGAGGGGATACAGAGGCAGAAGAAACAGCGTGCAGGTGCCGAGACCGCTAGCCCAGGGAAAGATGAGAGACGTCGAGGGCTGCGGATGGGGACGAACGCGATGACACGGAGTTGAGCGCCTAGTAAGGCAGCCACAGGTGACCCCTGAGGACAATTTGTCATAGGGGCTGGTCCAGGGTGCGGACCACAGGGGACTGCGGACAAACCAGGAGGGCAGACGGAGACCAGCAGAGACACTGTTATCAAGAAGTGTGCTAATCAAGCCACCGAAACAGCTGCTTATCTCGTATCCTGAAGTTCACCGGACTTAAACCAATAAAAACGCCTCCCCCCATGCATGCCCTCACTCCTCGCTTCTCCACAGGCACAGAGCTCAGTGACCAAAAATAACCGACGACAGAGCCTTCCAACCTCTCTCTCCCAACACCCCCCGCGGTGCCTGGTTTTGGCTAAGACACCTTCTAGAACTAGTCAACAGCCACCTGCTATCAACACTCAGCATCTAAATTCGATTGTCCCGCCTCAGGTAAATGCCAGTTACCTGTTTATCAGAGGGAAAAATGAAACCAGACGCTACAATGTGTCAGCTGAACAGGAACAGAAGCGCAAACTCAGGTCAGATACCTTTGGGTGAACTATATCATTGATCCTCAACTGTCAGAAAGAGAACTTTCAACTTCTACTTCCTTCAAAAGCATGCTTGTTCTTTACTGTAAGTTTAAAAAACAATGAAATAAGAATAAAGAAAAAAAAAACGATCAGCATTAGCCTGTTTTTAATCTTCTACTTTGTTGTGTGCATGATGCATCTATAAACATAATACACGAATGTGTCTCTATTGACCTAAAAAGAGACTCCCTAGCAGAAGGATTTCCAGCTGTGTTTTTAGTAACATTTCTCTCTTAACAGTAACACCAGGGACTACCCCCGTCTCCCTGCCAATACTAAGCCAGGTTAACAGCTTCTGCTTCATTGGTTCCTCTGGTCCTTCTACGTTCTGTTAGTCAACTCCCCTCTCTCTCCTCTGTCACATGTCTTTGCTGCTGAAGAGCCATTCTGGTCACAAGACAAATATTTCTGTTTAGGAACCAAGGCTACTTTATCAGCCACTACAAACGTAACCCGTGACAGTTGACTTTCCAACATTCCCAATACCCTCGAAGGGTACTCCGCTGGTTATAGGTTAGCGACAGCTAGGGTAACAGGATACATGTGAACCTATGCTTTTGGCGGGGGTTAAGAAGCACTGTTGCATAAATATTTTAAGTAGAGCCTGTACTGAAATTCTAGATGATACTCTACAACATGCTGGGGGCCCAAGGTAGCAAATTTTTATTGACACTGTGAGCAAGCCTTGCCATCTGCTAGGGGGGTCTCCAAGATTTCACCCTAAATGTATCCCCCTCCACACCAAATGTTTCTATTTTTTTTTTTAATGCATTAGCTGCGCTGTGGGCCAGGTAGTGCGTGACACAACGGCCAAGGACGGTGGGTGCTCGGTGAAGCTGTCTGCAGTCACAATTACTGGTCGCTTTGGGAGCCCAAGGGCACAAGTGCACAGTGCATGTGCACCAGGCGGGTGAGTTTCCCCGCAGCAATATCACCACAACCAAGTCATTCATCGCCAGAGAAGGGAAAAAGAAACCTCTCCCCAGGATTTGACGCATGCACTGAAGATTTATGGAAAATGCTTCGGGATGTGAAGGCTACTTCTCCAGAAGAGGCAGGTTTCCGGACTGCCCTGGGAAACAGCCCAACGATAGATGCCTCTGTCTATCTGTGTGGGGCAGGTACAGCCACCCACAAATCTGGAGCCCTGAGGAAGAGCGGGAGGCGCCCCCAAAGTGGGGATCCGACTGTGGGTGACCGCAGCTCTAGGAGCGCAGGGGAGACAGAGCCTAGCCTCTGCCCACTAGGAGGCTCCTATGTTTGTCTCTCCCCAGTGCCCTCACTGTTGTGGCTGGAGGGCTCTACCTTCTCTGCTTCGGGGAGGCTGCAGCCAGATTTTGTCAGGAGAATAGGGCTGGAGAGGAAAGCAACTGTCCCCTAAGGAGAGTCTTGCGGGAGGGCTGAGTGGGAGACGTGGAGGAGCACAGGACTGCACCTGCTCGGACGGGGTGACAGACACGCAGGAGGCCGGAGGGAATGGCAGGACTCCTGCTGTGACAAAGTACCTTCCCCAACCTCCACTCTCACCCAGAAGCAGCAGGGACCAGGGCGAAGAGATGAGCCAAGGGTGGGGGGATGGGTCTTCCAGACCTCATGACATATCATAAGAATGTCGAAGTCTGGGGGGCACATGAGTGGCTCAGTCCAGTGAGCATCTGACTGCGGCTCAGGTCATGATCTCGCGGTTCATGGGTTAGAGCCCATGAGCTGTGCTGACAGCTCAGAGCCTGGAGCCTGCTCTGGAGTGTCTCCCTCTCTCTCTGCCCCTCCCCTGCTTCCACACTCTCTCTCTCTCAAAAATAAAATAAACATTAAGAAAATAAAAATAAATTAAAAAAAAAAGAACTTGGAACCCTGGCACAACCTTGCTGGGGTGTGTGGGAAAGAGACCCAACGTTAACCTTTCTGCTACCACCCTGGAGTAGAAGATGAGTGGATTGAGAAAAATACAGTATTTTTTTGCACCCTTGAGTCTGTGGACCAAGGTTCATTCTCAACTTGAATTAACAACTCAATGAGCAAATGAGCTCATGATGAAGGTAAACGGCTTAACAGCTAGTAACCTATATATTTTTCTGACACTATCAGTCGAAATGCATAGATCTCCGTCAGATCAGGATGCCATTCAGAGTAAAGGACCCTTTGAGAGCAGAGGCTCATGAGGCTTTTGCATCACGCAGACATTTACCATGAATTTTGGCCTTGCTCGTCACCAGAGCTGTTTCTAAAGGTGCAGCACTGACAGAGACCGCTGTCACTGGAGGCATCACCTGCTGGCATTGACGAGGCCTCATGGGGTGGAGTCACTCAGAAAATTCACTGTCACCCTTGACCTTGATTCCCAGCCTAGCCCAAGGTTTCTTAGGTCCAACAATGAGCTTTTCTTGGAGCCAAAGAGGATTCCTCCCCTAGAGCGTGAAG